TATGTGATGGGAAAATGTTGTATCAACTGCTTTCTAATCGAGTCATATTTGTACTTGACGGATTCGACGACTTTTCACTTCCTCTAAAAAAAGTTTGGCTGGAGCTTTACCGGCAGTACAGTGTGGTAGTGGAAAAACTGCGCTTATTATTTGACTCGATCCTCAGATCATCAAAAGTTTTTATGCAACCTCCACCACAGCTAAAGCCTCTGCCAGATTCTTTTCTGGGGCAATTGGAGGACGATGTTCGCTTGAGTAGCATTCCAAGGGAAGATGTAACTGAGACGTTGGGAAAATTGGGAATATGTGGAAGTGAAATAAAGAGTCCGCCGAGAGAAACGGTCGAAAAAAAATCACCTCCACTATCACCCTCAGTGAACGCACAACCACGAAGTGGTAAAGAGTCCCCTCCTATACCACCTGTTGCTACTGAAAAGAAAGAGGCGGCATTCTCTATGGATGAGCTTTTTGTCAGCGCACCCGCAGCAGAATCAGGACCGGCGGTTCCTTCTGCTCCAGCCGATCCCTTGGTGGATAACCAGCATTTTCCGTTGTTCAGTCCTCAATCTGAAGAAAATATTGGGCCGGAAAATCTTGGGGATCACTATGCTGCTTTAAACACGGTAATTGATGATGGGTGGTCAACCGGTGCCCCCGTATCTTGGGAAGGTACCCCATCCGTACAATACTCAACTGCGGCTCCAGTTGCAGATGGAATGTCTCATACCGTATGGGGAGGAACTTATTCCTCAGCAACTGATGCGATTCCAAAACAAGGCAATGAAAACGTTTTCAAGGAATTATATAATGAAGAACAAAAGGGTTGGCATGCCAATAACATTTAGTGATACCTACAGCTTTTGAGTGAAAACCGAGAAAGTATTGTCATGACGCTTTGGTTATTGCTACTAGTAATTGCAAGAGTATTAATGTTTGAGAAGAGAAGAGAGATTAGTGGAAAAGTTTTTCAGTTTTTGTTTTCTTTTGAGGCGGGAAGGCGTTTCCTTTTTTTTTTAACTTTTTTTTGTTGTTGTTTGTGTGTGTGAGTAAATTATTTGAAATATTGTTACTAATACCTTCATTTCGAGGAAGGAAATCAATGATTTTAAAAGAGTTTTGTGCAGAGGGCTATGAACGGATACCAGAGGCCATAGCTTCGGGGGCGCAGCGTGTTGAGATTTGTGCCCGTTTGGATGTTGGCGGCGTCACCCCGTCCGCTGATACAATTCAAAAGACAGTGGAATATTGCCACTCTAGAAATGCTATGGTAATGGTTATTATACGCTGTAGGGAGGGCAATTTCTATTACAGTGATGAGGAATTCCAGGTAATGTTGAAAAGCGTGATATTGGCGAGGCGTTTAGGGGCAGATGGTGTTGTTTTTGGCGCCATTGACGTCCTTGGCAATGTGGACCCCCGAATTGGCATCCTATTGTCTGCTGCCAAAGGGATGTCTCTGACGTTTCACATGGCTTTTGATGAAATCCCTACCGAAAAGCAATTTCAGGCCATTGATGCGTTAACGGCCTACGGATTTCACCGGATTCTAACCCATGGAGGATCCGCAAGTACCAATATTGAAGAAAATTTGGATTGGCTGAAGGAACTCGTTTTATATGCAAAAAATAGAATATCTATAATGCCCGGAGGTGGCGTTACTAGTTTGAATGCTGAGAAAATTGCCAGGGATCTGGGTGTTACTGAGGTTCATGGAACACGGGTTGTGAGATTTGTTTAACAATTGGTATAATTTTTTCTTTGGGAGAGGGATATATATATAAGTACTTACGGTAATCTGCACGATTCTCTCCCCGTGTGGCTTTGTTTGTCTGTTAAAATGTTTTCTATGTTGATATTGGTGAGGAAATTCCCTTTTTGCTATGTTTATTAGTTTGCAAGCAACGTAATAAAGTAAAGGAGGCAATTATGCGATCCCTCCGGTTAAATAGATTGATTACTGTCGCCGCCTTAGCGCGGTCACAATCCGGTAGTGGCAGCGGTCGGTACCAACAGCGTGAGCAGCAGCAGCAGCAACAGCAGCAACAACAACAACGATTTGGTGGTCCTCGCGATGGTCGGCCTCTGAGGGGAAGGCCCCCGCAGAACTTTCAACAAGGTGGCTATCGCAATTCGTTAAACGAGCCCCAGCTCGTGGCAAAGCTACTGGAGCTCTACCCAAGTGGGAAGTCGTGGATGCCCATAAACAAATGGGCCTCGTCCATACCCGAGGAGATTCAAGAAGCGTTGGTGGCTTTTGGTGGCCTAGCACAGTTTACTGCATCACAAAGCAATTTTTTTATTGTGCGAAAAGAGAACGGGACAGTGGTTGTCTCACTTTCCACAATGGCTTCGGAACTGTGCGCTAAAAGGGAGAAAAACATTAAAAAACGCGAGGAAAAGGCTGCCGCCTTTTCTGCCCGTCGTCGGGATGATTCGAGACGTCAGAGAGGACGCGACTGAGCACTTTGCGATGTGACGATGTGGTACCGTTTTTTAATTTTCCGCTTTGTTTTTTTGTTTTTGAATTTGCCAAAGAATGGTGAAAAAGAAGGTTGGAGAAGGAGCAGGGATGACCTTGTGATTTGGCGCGAGAAGCAAAATAAGATAATAATAATAATAATAATAATAATAATAATAATAATAATAATGAAGTCTTTTTCTTGTCGTTGTGTTTGTTCTGGCTCGTTGCAATCCTTCTGGGTTCTCTGTTAACACACCCAAAACAACAAATCAACAAAGAAAGGGCAGGATTGGGGTCATGGTGCACTACTCAAGGAAGCCTCAGGTGAGCTCGAAGAGCGCCAAGGCGAAGGTCAGTGATCTCCGCTGCCACTTCAAGAACACGTTTGAGACAGCGAATGTGATCAACGGCATGCCCCTTCGCAAGGCACAGCAGCTGTACCGTCAGGTTCTTGCTAAGACACGCTGCATTCCTTTTAAGCGCTACAATGGCAAGATTGGCCGTACCGCTCAGGCGAAGGAGTGGGGACAGACAAAGGGACGTTGGCCACGCAAGTCTGTTGTTGCAATGCTCTCACTGCTGAAGAATGCCGAGGCAAACGCCATCGAGAAGGGTCTTGACCCCAACAAGATGGTCATCAAACACGTGCAGGTGGATCAGGCCGCCCGCATGCGCCGCCGCACTTACCGCGCTCACGGCCGTATTACGCCGTACATGTGCAGTCCGTGCCATGTGCAGCTCTTCATGACTCAGCCCCAGGAGCGTGTCCCTGTGCCGAAAAGCCAGCCGAAGAAGTAGAGTGATCTGACGGCCTGTCTTTGTGCTTATTTTTTTTTTTTTTGTTTTATTATTTATTTATTTTCTTGTTGTCTCTCTTTCTGGTAAGCACTTTTTTAAAATAGGCACACTTCTAGTTGATGAGGTTACCTTTTTTTTTTCTCAAAGACTGTTGTTTTTTTCCTCTTTTTTTTTTTTTTTTTTTTTTTTTGGAGGGGGCTTGTTTCTCTCATTTTGGACGGTTACTTATTGATTTAGGTGTATACAAACGAATTTTTTTTTAGAAATGTTTTTTAGGTCTTTTCTTGGGCGTTCCTGGCATGCTTCACAGACAACCGCAGATCGACTCTTGGTGTCTCATCATCATCATCGGCTAATCGATAGCCGTTATTGGGATTGTGCAACTCCGTCCAAAGCACTTTCTGTGTTGGGTCTGCTGGTTAGATCAGGTACGATGATAGACAAGCTTGACAAGGCCGCCTCAGAGGCTTTGAGTGCAATGGGTCCTAGCATGACAATGAGCGAGCAGGCTCTTTTGGGCAAGTGGTCGTCGTTCTTGCGCTTGAAGATTTCTGCGGACGGTTCCTCAAGTACCCCCCAAAACGTTGGGTCGGATATATGCAGTACGGATATTAACGAGAGCGTTGTGGCGTTGTATTCCCTTTTCATAAGGGATTCTCAGACGAGTGTTCTGGCAGGGGAGAGATCCATTGTCCTTTCAACAGATTCAGTGCTGCGGTTAGACCCCATTTCGTCTCTAATGCTCTTAGAAATGATGCTTTCGAAATCGTTTCGGCAGGGTGCTGCTTGGCGAAATGAAAATATTGCTGGAGCGCTTCTTACTCGTCTTAGATATCATGTGATTTACAGCAATGTGATTGGGTTTAAGGCTCTTTGGTGGATTCTCCACATTCTTAGCGACAAAGAGTCCGTTTTGCAAAGAAGGTCGGTCGAAAGTGGTCGTCTCTTTAGGGCGTGTCTCAGGCGTCTTCATGACATGCTACCAGGACTAACACCTGGTGACTGTCTTCTGCTATTCCCATTGTTGAAAAACTCCCTTTACGACAAACCATTTATTATCTGTGCCGATATTATGAGGCGAGTCGTGACGTGCGAATTAGAAGAGTTGGGTGTTGTACCAACCTCTGTCATAATGCATACCTTGGAGTGTGGGGATCTAGTTCCCCCGTTTCGTCGTCGACTGTATCAACTACTCTGCGAGGATTACCGTATGGGCGATATTGGGAAAGGAGAGTGTTTGTTTCTTCTTTCAATCATAGCCACATCACCCGACATGGACGAGGTTGAAAAAAATAATTATGAGGATGATACTGGATGTACACTTTGTGAGTCTCTCTTCGCGCAGCTTTACGTCACTGCCAAAAGCATGAATGCCGTCGAGTGCGTCCAGGTCCTTGAATACATGGAATTTTTGGCCACCTCACACTTTTCAGTAACTATTCCGCAAGACTTATTGGAAAGACTAAAGAAGAGAGTTTTTTCTTGGACAAGGCAGGCCTTGAAACGACCCAACTTGACGGTGCTGGAGCTACAGTGTGAAGTTGAAGCAATACATCGTCTTGAAGGAGTTCTCAGAAGATCGGTCCTTCTTCCTTTTCTTGCCGGTGATGCGGCGGTAATTGGTGAGATTTCCAGAAAAGTCAATTATCGTCTAAAAAGGCCCATAGAGGGAAATGTGGCCTGAGTATATATATATATATATATACAAGAAATGAAGCGGGCGCCTTGAAATTTGTTGTTGTTGTTTTTGATTTGTAGTTTGCTCCAAAATATGCGCTTGAGCGGTGGAAGGTTTGAGCGTGAGAGCCGAGAATGAAATGTAAATAATGGGGTTTTCCCGTGTTATTTTATGGTTAACTGGGAACTGCGATCTCTTTTTCTTTATAAATGGGTTTTGTTTTTACACCTTTTTGAAATTTGACAAGGGCTGCTGTAGAAAAGTGGGAGAGGAACAATGCAATTAGTTTGTCTGGGGCTTGCGGTGGCCATGCTCTTTGCCGTTTGTGCGGAGTGCGCGGATTCGATGGCCCTCATGTTCGCAAGAGAGATATCTCTTCGTGATGTGGGAAACGTAAGCGTGAGCGCTTCTTTTAACGATGCGGCTTCAAAGTATGTGGAAAATGCTTTTAAGCCGAATACTGTTTTTGCCGAGTCTTTTGCGTCGCCTCCAGATGTGGCTATTGTTGCGAGGCACTGGTTTGTTGGTGCCCAAGATAAGGTTCTTGATTCCTTTCGTGAACTGAACGCCCTCTTCGACAAATGGTCGATGACGCCTGTCGCCGCGTTGGTGAGCAGCTTGAACCAACTGTCATTTACCGATCTAGGGAGACAACCATCAGTTGTCAGCTTCAACGATAACTGCAGTTACGGTGACGAGAGTATTGGCATTGGTTCTCCGGACTTTGGCTTTGATAATCTTTCATTTCTTTTTACTATGCAAGTAAACCCCAGTAATGGCTTGAAACAGCGGCTCTGCCAAATTCTTTCAATGCACGATTGCACTCTTATCACACTGGACAGTTCTAAAGAAATCGACGGGCTATATGTGGCGCAAGTGACAATAACCTCGTCCAACAGGAACCTTCTGCTTATAAAAATTCTGAACAACGTTCAGCATGTTTCGATTCTTTTTTTGGATCGCATTCTTCTTGTTCGCGTGGCAGGTGTACAGGTGTACCTCCGGAAAAAGCTTCCACCTCTTACTTACAAGGGAAATACGGCTGATTGCCTTTCACATTATTGGTATTTAATCTTTTTGATGTTGCTTTTACCTTTAGCACTCATTGCCGGGCAACGCCTTAAAGCATGTGGAGCCGAATCTGGTAGAAAATCTATTCGTGCCATGGAGTGGGATATTCGTAGTGGGGTCCGCTTTAAGGGCCAGTTTCAGACACATTTCTCTGGTAGAGGTCAGGCCTCTTCGGCCGTCATTTCAGGAATTTTTCCTTCGGGGACTCAGCATGGTGTTCAGAACCGAGAGTACGCAGTTTGGCAAAATGCCCCAGGAGCGAAACAATTCCCACACCAAGGACAAAATATGTATTATGACCCCAATAATGCCTGGCAACCCGGTGAGGGGCAAGATAGTCAGCAAATTTACCCCATTACTAGTCGAGTTTAGTTGGAATACGAGGGTCATGTATAATTGGCTGGCAATATATATATATATATTTGTATATTCATGCGGGGAGGAAAAAGCAAATGCATTTGCCCGGGTATGAGAAAGAAAAAGGTTCTGAGCTTCTCGGTCCTTAACTTTTTTTTTTTTTTATGTGGCACTAATTGTGGGTATGGGTATCGGTTGTAGATGTTCTTCTATTGCTGCCACGGCCTGAGGTTGGCTGTTTTTTCCCTCAATAATAAAAAACAAAAACAAAGAAATAAACAAAAAAATTTTGTTTATCTTTGTGGTGGTAGAGACGCGTTTTTATTGATACTTTTCCCCGGACAAATCTTCCATTAGAAAAGAGTGAAAAACAGTAATAATAATAATAATAGTAATAGTAATAAGGAATTGTGTCTCTTCAGGTGGGTTTAGCACCCGTTGCAGCTTTTTTGATTTTTTTTTTTTTTTTGGTGGGATTAAATTTTCTTTCTCTTCCTATTTATATACATGTTTTTTCTTTTGGGTATGAAATGTTGAGAATAACAAAAAGGGTAAAGGAGGGAATTACATTCCCTTCATTGCAATGCTGCGCCTAGGGTCATATCTTCTGTGTGCCAAATCGATTCAACGTATGGCTGGGGCTGCCGAGCTGTCAAAAGACTACAAAAAGATAGAGGATGAGGAAAAATATCTTGCGGAAGCGGAGGCGAAGCGCAAGGAGTATGAAAATTATCCCTTGCGCTATCGATTGCTGGAGTGCAAACCCGGATTGCCACTTGCTCTGACCAAGTTGAAGTACCTCCTGGCCTGCCGGAGGACACATCCTGAAGCCGGCGGCAATGCGGAAGACTTCCTGCGGGTTAGTCTTGCGTACCAGGACATCATGAAGGACTACGGCGTGGAGACTGTTGAGAACAAGATTGTGAACCTGGGCAATTTCCAGGTGGATGACCACGAAGCACGAAACTATTTGGAGGCACGTGCCCAAATAAAGAGTTTTATACCTATCTCCACCCTAACGGATCATATTAGGAAGATTGAAGAAGTTAAGGCGCGTCTTGGAGACGACTTGGCAGAAAAAATAGCCGCCAATGACGATGAGGCGATGCTTCTTCTTGAGGACATTGAAGAAATTATGGAGGAGGATGGTCTTCGTACCGTTCGACTGGGGCTGCTTGAGGATGGCAGTGTCAGAGTGGAGAACAAGATGCTCCTTACCGATGGTACTGAAAAGCCATTATGCCTTGAGAAACTTTCCAAGAACCAAGAGGAACAAATTAAAAAAAGGGAAGCAGCTGATGATGGCACTTTGAAAAGTGTGAGCGACGAACCAACTGGGCAGCAAGAATCAAATCTCAATTTGGGACAAGACACGGATGGAGGTGAAAAGGCCATATGGACAGCAGATGTCAGTGCCGAAGACATTGAGGTTCTTACGGCAAAGGACAAAGTACAAGATCGCTCAGATGTGGCTGGACTGGCATCTCGGACAGCTACAGAGGTGATGAAAAACACGGAGATAGTGAAGCAGGTTCGTCTTGAATCCTCCATACTTTTTGTTTTTTCTCTGTGCATTTTTCTGGTTGTGTACGTCTACATAGAGGGACTGATGCGCGCAAAGATGCAAAGCAAGAAACGACCCGAGACTATGGAGCATGTTACAACAGATACAATGCTCCCATGGTGGGGAAATGATGCTGAGTACGAAAGCCAAGTGAAACGTATTTTTGTGGAAGAATGGCGTCGGGCCCGCGCGAGCTCTCGTCGCGTCCAGACGTTTCAAGATGGCGTTGCCCGGGAGTCGTTGGATGAGGAGACCAAAAAGGAGATGGATCTCAAAATATTCACTGTGACGGCTGAGCGTCTACGGGAGATGAGGGAGCGTGCGGACAAACACACTGGTCGCCAATAATTCGGTAGTGGTGTGTGTGTTGTTTTTTCTTGGGTGTTATGTTTTGTTTATATTTTTATTTTGTAGACTGACTTAGAGCAAAATGTGCTCCATACTTTTTTTCCCCTTTTACTTATGTGTCTAGGGATTAGGGAGGGGGGTTATTTATTCTCTTCTTGGCTCTAGACGGTGTAAGCAACATCATTGGGTGTGTTTCTTTTTTCTATAAGTACTGGCGTTTTTTTTTTTTTTTCTTTCTTTCCTTATCCCTTTCTCTTTTCTTATCTCTATTTGCTTCACATTTTGTTCTTCTTTCTATGACTCTCTGCTCTCGCGTGGCCTACAAAAAATTTATCCCTCATACTTTTTAAAGGAAAGATGGCGGTTGCTTTTATTTTCGACGCCGGCTCCCTTTACCAAGTGAGTGAAAACGGGGGCGAATTGATCTGTCTGCCTCTGGTGTGTCCGATTCAGTCAGGGGCCGATGTGGCCTGCTTCAGTGTGGAGGAGTTTTACTTTGTTGAGCGTGACTCGCCCCTTCTCTTGCGACGCTGGAGGGTGTCGCTTGACTGCAAAGAGTATGCACTTCCCGGCCCGGTCCAAAACGTCCTCGTTCACCGTCAGAAGGTGTACTGTTGTGGTAAAGACTCTCTTTTTGTCTTTGACCCCCTCTCTGAGGAGTTTGAGACGCTGGAACTCCAGCGCGGAGCATCCGATTTAGAGGCGTTGGATCATGGGTTTGTTTTTTTGGATGAGAATCAGGAGATTTATGCATACCAATTCAACCAGTGCCCTAGGAAGGTGGAACTGACGAGAAGGGGAATTCGGCTATTGGGCCGTTATAGCCAATACGTCGTTGTTCTATTGGACTCGGGTCAAATAGTATGCGTGAATGAGAAGGGTGAAGTTTGGGATGAAATCCTCTCTTATACATTTACGAAGCCCTTCATTTCTTTGAGCTCAGGTGCTCTCCTTACCGTGAACGAAGGAGGCAAAATATGCCTGTATGCAAGGGACACCACGACTCCGATTGTTAGTGAACTTCAGGTAACCGAGCCGAAACTTCTTTCCGTGCCTTCTGCCCAGCCTGAGGGTTCGTGCTTGATCTGCCTCTGTGATTTCGAGGAGGGTGGTGGGGTCACGTTGGACTGTGGTCACCGCTTCCATCGTGATTGCCTTGCCGAGTTTTCCTCTCGGGCCGACGGTTTTCGGGCAAAGGGAGAGCACGTGGTTTTCACGTATGCCGTTTGCCCAGGGGGGTGCGGCAGTCAAATTCGTCATGCCGCTGCCCCTCTCTCCGAATACATGGGACGTTTGCGTCGGGAAATTAACTTAGACGCAGAAAATCGTCTTCGAGAAATGAAAAACAAAACGGTAGAGGATTTACTGTATTATATCTGTTGCCGCTGTGAAAAACCTTTTTACGGAGGTGAACGCCGATGCTTCCGTTCCAATAATGTGGAGCCCGTTAAAAAGCCTTGCGAGTTAATTTGCTCGGAATGCAATGACGATTTTCTCTGTCCAGTTCACAAGCACAATTACGTCCTTTATAAGTGCCGATATTGCTGCAACCCCGCAACACACTTGTCATTTGGCAATCGTTATTTGTGTAACCGATGCGATGAACGTTGGGAGACGACCGAACCAGAGCCTATAGCATGCCCAGGTCCTGGTGAATGCCCGCTTA